TCTAATAAAATTTAATATTTTCTCTTGCTTAAAACATAAATCGGTGGAATCATATTTTGGAAATGAGAACATAGTAAATTTTGTTGGAGAAAGTAGAGAAAAATAGTGTTAGATTTTATGGTGTTCTTTCTTCTGAGCTAACAAAGACGACAACAATGGTGAACTTTGTTAGTCACAAAAGGTTCATAGTTAAATTTAGCTTCTTTTTTTTATAAATCTGTTAGGTTTAGGGTAAATGACCAAAATGAACACCTTTTTTTTTTATACATTAAGGATCATTTCAATTGAGTGAAATATATTAAGGACCACAATGAACATCTTTTGTTACACATTAAGAACCATTTCAATCAAGTAAAATGTATTAAGCACCAATATATATATATATATATATATATATATATTACTTTTTAGGTAGTTTTTATATATGTAAATTTAAATTTTCATGTCTAAATTCAAAATCGCATTAATTGCATAAATTAATTAGGTGAATGAAGAAAAAAATTCTTGAAATTGTCCATCATTTATTCAATAATAGAAGATTAGACCTTTATTTTACTTTTGTATTTATCATCCTAGATTCCATACATTATATATTATGTTCCAGTTCTAATGGTTTTTTTTTCTTTTTGTGGATAACTAGATGAAGATGTATTGTCAACTTCAATTGTTGAAAAGTCAAATTTTGTCCAATTATGACACAATTTTTTTATCAATTGGACCACCAACATGAACTATTTGTCTAGTTTTGAGTTTTGTCTCTTTCATTATAAAGCCCAATATGAAATTTTACAATTTTATTTTGCATATGAATATAAATAGTGTGAAATATATTATTTACTCCTTTATTTTAATTTGTTTGTTCTATTTTGACTTAATACAGAGTTTAAGAAAATAAAAAATGTTCTTTAATCTTGTAAACATGGCATGTGGAAAAATCAAATTTTGAGAAAAAGTTCATCTATGTCATCCATTAAAAGTTTGGCTCATTTATGTCATTTCTTTTTGAGAAAACGCTCATCCATGCAATTATTTGTTAACTGAAATGACAATAGATGAGCCAAACTCATAACGATAACTTAGAATGAGTCTTTTCTCAAAGTATGATGGCATTTTTAATTCCCTTTCCTTTTAAAAATGATTTGATTTAATGACGTGACCGAATGATAATTGACCACGTGTAGATATGATTTTGCAAAATCGGAACCATTTTTCGTTAACAAATAATGACATGTATGATCCTTTTCTCAAACAGAAATGACATAGATGAGCCAAAATTTTAACAGATGGTATAGATAACCCTTTTATCAAAGTTTGATGACATAATTGAGTCTTTTCCTTATTTGATATTCCCGTTGTGCTATTTACTTGTCCATTTTTTACTTGACACACCTATTAAGAAAATAACTATTGACATAATGAGTTAACCATTTTACCCCTATTAATTGATAGAATTTCAAATTAATTTACCCATTAAAAGAGGTTCTACTTCTTTTCAAAAACATTAACTCTCTAAATAAATTGATGATATAATAGGTAAAAAAAAATATTTTTTTTATTCGTCAAATATGACGTTCAAAAAGTCAAAATTGGACAAATAAAAAGGGACAGGGGGAGTAATAAAAAATAATTATCACATTAATTGCATAAATTAATTATGTGAATGGTGGAATCAAACAAACTTTGAAATTGCCAACCACTCACTGATAGAAAGCTAGACCTTCCTTTGAAAACATTTATCATTCTAGATTTAGTTTGGTATGCTATATTCTGATTTTAATATTTGCGTTTTCATCTTTTAGTTTATACCCAAATAAAGTATGTACTGTCAACTTCAATAGTTAAAAATTAATTTTTGTTCTATTATAGCACAATTTATAGTATTAATAAGGCACATTAAGTGTTCGTTCACACAATCCTTTGTTGTCTATAAATTGAGGGATTTCCTCTTATTTTAAAACAATGAAAATTTTAAATTTCTTCTTCATCTACACAATTAAATATTCGTGTACTTCGTTCATGTTAAGTGGCTCACTGACACCATTGTTTTTGTATCAATACATTGGTGAATAGAATCGTTCCGTCCTAAGAGGATCCATTCCTTTAAACCTAGGTACTAGAGGGGAATAATTTCCTTAAGAGGACATTGTGCATTCAGTGGACTCAAGTTTTTCCTTTTTGTTTCATTTTATTGCTACAGATCCTCGTATGTTTTTTTACAATCACTAATTTATCCTTATGATATTAATTGTTACTTTTTAGTACATGTTTTAAGCTTTGTTGTTTATGTTTCTGCAAAGTTATTGTTATAAGTATTTGTTAGTACAAATTAAATAACACACGTTAATTGAGTATTCACACAAGTTTTCTCTACTGAAATTGTTGAATGTATGATAAAAAATATTCCTTAAAGATCTATATTATCATCTCTTGAAGACAAATTTCAAATTTGGTATGCCATTGTAAGGACATAAAAACCTTAAAAACTTTTTCACACCTTGATGTGCAAAGTGAACTAGGAATAGACGACAAGAATTAATAAACTTTTGAAATGGGTTCAAGGATGTGCCAGATGACCTATAGAGGAATATAACTAGACTGGAGCCTCTATTAATGCCAAAAACAATATAGACAAATTCCCAGGTCTACTCCAAGTTGTAAATACTATTCTCTAAGTAATAAATGTGTTTCTCCACACTGCGATTGGAATAGAAGTGTAGTTTCACATTGAACTCCATCACTATGGTATGTCAATTTTAAAAAAAAACACCCAAACAAACTGAATAGCTTTGTGTAATATTTTTCCCTTTCAAGTATATATATGACAAGTTGAATTGTTGTCCAATGTGATACATTATCCCTTTAATTTTCCATTTTAATAATTATTTATGATACATTTAAATGGGGAAGTTTAAAATGATATATGTAATGCAAAATGTAGCACTCTGGTATATTGATTTTAAAAAAACACCCAAACAAACTGAATAGTTTTGTGTAATATTTTTCTCTTTCAAGTATATATATAATAAGTTGAATATTTGTCCAATATGATACATTCTCTCTTTAATTTTTTATTTTAATAATTATTTATGATACATTTAAATGGGATGTTTAAAATGATATATGTAATGCAAAATGTAGGGCAGAAATTTCTACACGTTAGAATTAGAATATTTTTTCACTTTTTAGAGCCCTTTAAATGTCATAACTATTATTTATTTATTAGAAAATTTAATATCTGAGGCTGATATTCATTTGATTCCCCAAAAATATCAAATAGTAACACTTCCTGGAAACAAAAGGATAAATTATAAAATCAAATTAAAGATGATTGATTAAAGGATAAATGAGATGATGTTATAATTATCATTTTCCCTTACATTATTAATGTTCGTTACTACGTATTCTTATATGTAAGATAATATAGTGTTTTAGTTTTAATAACTGATAGGTTTTAAGTATTATTCTATAAATTCCATGTTATTAAATTTCCGTGCGAGGCGCGGATAAATTTACTAGTTAAACCAATAAAGAAAATCCCATCGTCTTCTCCAAATACAAACCCCAACACCCTCTTGTCTTCTCCAAATACTCCTAACCTTTTGCAGAAACATCAGCACGCTGCGCACCATTTCTTTTACAAAAAAAAACGTACTTACTTTCTTCCTTCTTTGTATTAGCTTGATAGTAATGGAAGCATTTCATGAATGGGTTTATTCTTAAATTTTAAAAATATTTTTCATCATTTAGCTGAAAATTTCATTCACAATGGATGAAATTTAACTTGGGTAAAATGGTGGTTGAAAATGGAGAAGAAGAAGAAGAAGAAAATAATTAAAAATTAATCAAAGAACCATTTCATGCGCCTCTCAAGGTGTGATATACACTCATGCCACGTAAGCAAAAAGTGTCAAAATGACATAGTAAGACATTACATGATGTGTCTAAAATGAACATCATCAAGTTAAAGTGTATAAATGAAATTTCGTGCCAACTTTAGGAGGCGACCGATGGGTTACATAAACATCAACATAAATGATTTGATTGATTTTGTCTCTCTTATTAGCAAGCCAAGAATGTAATTGTGCAACTTTATTTTGCAAATGAATGTATATAGTGTGACGTATATTATGTATGGATGTTTGGTCAGTTCGATTCGATTTTGAAGTTTATCTTTTATTGTGATGAAACGGTAAGTACTACTTCATTCTTAACGAGAGGTCACATATTCGAATATTCTAAATACAAAGTCGCCTTTGGTAGGAAGCATTTTACCCCAATGTGAGACCTCCCGACGTAATGAATTAGGTATCCATTTGTGCAAAATTTCCTATAAAGGAGTAAGGTACACATTTCTACCTGCAGAGTGGTATTCTCCCACTGTTATCCTATCTGTGATCTGAACTACTTTGTATTGAGTGATTGTGTTAGTTCGTATCTAGAACGTGTAATTTGTTAGATGTTTCCGTCAATATGAAAGGCAACTCAGGATTCGGTCTTGTTTACGATCTAGTTATTGTGATAGTAGCAGTATTGACTATTGGCCTTGTATAGATTGCAGGTTTTGTTGTTGGACTTATACCTCATATCAGAAATTCAGTTATAGGTGATGCAGCTCCTCTTCGTGTGATCCAAGATACAACTTTGTTACTTGGATATGAGACTCTCTAACTTGTTTAAATGAGTCGAAGCAATAACAAGAATATTTCTAGTAGAACATCTTTCACAATCCCTAGAGAAATGGTTCACTAATAGACCGAGTTATAAGTCCTTCCACTCCATCATTCACATCCAGATCATGAATGTATAAAACAAACACTCAAACTGGATCTCAGCTTAGCAAATACTATGTAATCCAACTTTGTTCTCATTTTGTGTCTAGATGATCATTTTGTAAGTTGAAGTACTCAACTGACACAGTGAAGACGAGTTGAGGTATCTAGATGTGCATACTCAAAGTACTTACTTACCAACAAGGTCAAGTTTGAGTGTGTTCACTTAAATTATCAATCCTTTTGTCTGCTTGAAGAAATTGATATTTACATTTCATCAATGATCCATTGTATCAGAACATCAAGAAAGAGAGATATGTTTTAGTATCAAGACAACATACTACTCCAATCTATGTTCATCACATATCCCTCTAAGTTTCTACTGGGGAGGCTGAAGCCGAAATACCTCCCTTGCTATCTGGGCCATTCAAAGTTTTTGACCCACAGTATCATCAACAACAACTAACAGTTATGGCCAAGCATTCACAATATTGGCCAACTTCTAATACTCCTGCTTTTTTAACTCAGAGATTTTGCTGCGCAAAGGGCACATGAACATGAAGACACCCATGAAGGGTGACAACAGTGTTGGTCCGAAGTTGATCAATTATAGCAGGCAAGGTGACCACCTGGAAAAAAAAATTATGTCAGCCAACTTACAAATGGAGAACCTATTGATTGTCGTAGACTTCTTAAAGTGTTGTGATCAACGAATAGAAACGTAACAATGATATAGTTTTCAGATCCATTGAAGAAATATCAAGTTTTCTGCATGACAATTTCTCTTTACCAGAGAAAATTACCAGTCCAAAAAGATGCAAGTAAGGAAAAGATTGAATTAAAGTCAAAATCAGTAAAATAAATAGCAAGGTGTGTACCTTCTTGAAGGCAGTAACACCCCAAAGATTGTCAAGTTGGTTTGGCTGACCAGTAATGACCAGGCGACCAAGTAGATCTGATTGAACCCGTATCTATGCTTACCAAGAAATAAGGACATTAGAGCTTTTAGATGGTGTAAAAAGCCGAAAACAAATTGAATGCACTTGATGGAAACAAGTAGCACGATTGGTATTATACCTCCTCTCATAAAAATCCAGGCACTAGTGGATAGACCTCAAAGGAATCATTATGTTTGCATAAAATCATTACAAATCACATGAGAGAAATGGAGTGCATAATCTAGAGGTTCTTAATTCTTTTATTCTGAGAGGAACTTACTGTTTCAGGAACATTGATTTTAACCCAATTAGTAGGGGGTCCAACATCAACAACTTAGACATCCAACCTGGCAGATGGAAATCAATTTATCTTTACATCAGAAAAGGATGAACCAAAAACAGAGAGAGATAGAGAAATACTATTGAAGTTCCTAGTACTCCTTTTCTTTGGGTGATAAAAACTGCTGGTGTACAAGATAAAAACATTAGAAGAAAGGATCAAGATAAAGTAAGACTTACGGCTTAGATGTTTCAGTTTCTGCAGCTTTCATTGGGTGCTCCACTTCATTTTTCCCCTGGTGCCTAAGAGAACTTGAATACAACAAGAAGTTTTGATGCGGTCACTATTCCTTTTTGATAGAGTATGAGTCAAAGAAAAAACTAAAGTTCTCGGATGATAATCCTGATATAGTTATAGTGTCAACTAATAGCCACTAAAGGCCAAAGTTTTGCAGAGTGCCAGACTTCATATTGGGAAATGGTGAGCAGAATACAACTCAATGATAGAGATATATGAAGAAGTCAAGTTGGCAAAGAATTGACGAACAATCTTACCACCAGTTTTTAAGCAATTTGCACGCTTTGGCATATTGTAGGCATTCATGTCCTGTAAAAGATGAAAAACACCAAAATTACTTGTACATGGCAATATAAAGGATCAAACTTAAGAAAATCAACTTTGAGAACTTGAACGAAGTCAAAATACATCGATTATTAAACTACTTAGGGTAATAGGCTTTCCCATGTATAAATTAAAAGGAGTACATCACATATAGTCAAAATACAGAAGATGTGAAGATACATCACATAACAACAAAGTAAACATAGTGTTACCTCATTGTCAACACCCCAAGAAATAGGAGGAGCAGCAATAGGAAGTTGAAGCTCTCCATTTTGTGTCCTATGCCTTTCATATGGTAGAAGTAACTAACATACAGAGAAATCATGAGTTAGTAGAATGTACAGAAACAAAAAGTAAGAGAAAGATAACTTTTTAGAACAAAAGATGGGTTGTAAGTAAAAGTTTTCTAAGTTGATACTTCACAAAGCACCCACCAATTTTTTTGATAAGGTTAAACAATTTGTTAAGGATTGAGGAAAATCCCGTATACAAGCCGTATACCAAGAAATAGAGAACCTATACAAAAATATGGTCCTCTGCAAAAGACATTCAATCATCTATACAAACAGGGACCTTATAGGTGCACCAAAAAATAAACTAAAGATTAAAAGGCTAATCCTTACATTTACAAAATCAGTTTCTATCCCTTCGAACACTCTCCTCCTCTCTCCTTCCATACAACCCACATGAAAGATAACATCGCAAACCACCTACCCACTAACAAGGTGACATAATTTAGGTCCCAGAAACTCACCTTATACCAAATATTAGCATCATGGTGGACAGTAATCCAAATATGCTAATAACTATCAAGGGTAGAGAATTTAAGGTTATTACCCTCTCGTAGAAGCTGCGGAATATCCAAGAAACAGTAGTGCAAGTCCTGAGAAAGAAGATTATCAGAGCCCCAACAAAATCATTTAGAGAAAGTCATATATAAGTAGATAGAAGGCATTGGTATTGTCTTATATATTCAGTTGATTATCATTCCATAAATTCTTATCTATTTGAGCATCAAAAGATATCTTGCTCATTACAACCCCATTCTTTATTCTAAGTTACTCATCTAATTGGAGACATCAGACATCAACACTTATTTCACATTGAGAAAATCTAGCATAAGAAAGCATCCCGTCAGTATCTCAAAAAGTTTAGATCCCCTATTCAGAAGCATCTGTAAATATTTTAGGCTTCAAGTCCCGGCGTGCTTAACTCCAAAACCAATTGCCGCCACTCAGATACGTGTATAATATCCCTGGTCCTCTATATTTGAGCAAGACCTAACAGAAAGAAAGATGCAACATTCCTTGGGTATGTTGTTGTTTGTTGTTAATGCGGTGTATGTTTCTTAGCACTTATAGCCTAAGTTGCTCGGACTCGGTGTGGGTGTCCGATATGGGTGTGGATCTAGATGTTGGATCCTTCATGATCTAATTTTAAGATTCAGGGATATGGATCCATGTAGGGGTATAGGTATAGGGATTCACCTAAAAATAATTAAAATGTCTAAAAGACGAGTTAGAAAACCTAAATTATGAGATATTACGAGAGAACTTGAGGAGAATCTAGGAAGGAGATTAACGGAAAAGGAGTGACAAAGAAATTTCTATATAAAAGGTATTTCATTTTCTTCAATTTCACCTTAGCTTTTGTATTGATTACAAACAATCATTAAAACTGTCCACACTTACTCCATCGATTTTGGTCAAAGCACCCAAAATTGGTTGACCAAATTTGACACGGATCCCACACCCATGTCATGTCAACACAGGTGTGGCACCTAAAGTGAAGAGTCCGAGCAACTTAGCTTATAACTTGATGTTGGAATCTATGTTGTTATGTTTGCAAAAGCACTTCATGTTTTCTTCATATTTTCAATTTTAGTAGTTTTAATACTCTCTCCGCTATAAAAAGAATGCCTCTTTCCAAAGTTACCAGGTTCAAAGAAAAGAATGTCTCTTTCCTTTTTTGGCAATTCTTAATTTCAACGTTTCACAACTCACATGACATGTTCAAGACCACAAGATTAAAGGATATTTTGGTACATTTTACGCATCTTTGGTTTATCTAAACTTAAATCTAAAATGATGAACCTTCAACCTAAAATTTCTATTGGAATAACTTTTTATTGTTATTGATCCATTTGAATCATTACTAAACTAAAATAGCTTACTCAATCTCGACAATTGCTTATTCATATGCTATTGTGAGTTCAAGACAGACCACTATGGTGAAATTGGTAGACACACTACTCTTAGGAACCAATGATAATGCATCTCGACTCGAGTACGAGTGGTAGAATACCATCTTCAAAAAAGGATAAAAAGATCTTATAATGAATTCAATTCCCGATTTCCATTAAGAATTATGTAATTAAGGGACTCTACTTTTTTAAAGAATTTTTATGAAATTTTCAACCTTAGAGCATACAATAACTCACATTTCCTTTTCGATCATTTCAATTGTAATTGTTAAAAAGTCCCACATCGAAAGAGGAATGGGAAATTGGACTCCTTATAAGGACTTGGACAAACCTCCCCTCATGAGCTAGCTTTGGGGGTTGAGGTAGACTCAGATATCATATCTTTATATGGTATTAGATTCAGACTCATATCAACTTGTTGTTCACCGATGTTGGGTCCCCATTTATAACGGTTCACGCTCTAGTTAAGGTATGGGCATAAGGGGGATGTTAAGAAATCCCACATCGGAAGACGGATGAGAAGTTGGACTCTTTATATGGACTTGGACAAACCATCGCTCATGAGCTAGGGTTGAGTCGCGTCCAAGTGTCATATCTTTACGGTAATTACCATTCATTTGATAACCTTTTTAATCGATGAAATCGTAAAAATATACGATTCATCAGAAAAAGGCAATAGTTGCTCTTTTCTATATAACAATATTATTAGTTACTCATTGGATTTCTTTGAGACATTTCCCACTAAGCGATTTATATGAATCATTAATATTCCTTTCATGGTGTTTCTCCCCAATTCATATAATTCTTTATATCAAAAAAATTGCTATAATTTTAAGTAAAATAACTGGACCAAGTGCTATTTTAATCCAAGGCTACAAGATTCAAAAAAATTATTTACTTTCTTAAACTCTATGTCAAGTCAAAATCAGACAAACAAATTGAAACAACGAGAATAATTATTAAGGTTTTATACATTTAATGAACAATTATTCTTCTACCACCTTCTGATATATTGTTCTAGCAACCAAGCAGCTTATTCCTCTCACATGTACCCAAAATAAATCGTAACATTTCACATCCAAAATATTCATATTCATTCAACAAAAAAAAACCTTCAATATCTTGGCACATCATCAGAAAAAAAATGACAGACAACATCTCCCTTACATAGTATATATTGGGGAAGTTGATGTTTGACGAGTAAAGGAGATCATAACAAGTTGCCAAAAAAATAGAAATAAACAGGCCTAACTAAATGCTCACTTGAGGGGATTAAAGGACTCTCCCACTTACCACCACAACTTTAATCCCGTTACCTACAGAAATTAAGGAGCTTAATAGTACACCATCAAAAGTACGTGGGAATAACACAAAATTGATCTCACAGACTCATAGCATAGTGCATCATTAATTAAACAACCTAGTAACAGAAGAAAATACACAACCAGCGCTTTAGTTTTTTTAATTATACTATAAACTACGGAGCTACATTGCTTATTTCTTAAAAATAAATTAAGAATACCCTCTCTAACAACTCGAGGTTCACATTGTGATATTTGGAAAGAGAAACATAGCCCTCCAGGGATTTTTACACACGACTGTGTGAACAAGCAGCAAAAATCTTTTAACAAAAATGACCACATAAAATCATGGTTAATCCAGAAATAGCTTATTGCACTTGATTGTTGACCCACTGCTTCTGATTAGCTGAGGACATTTTGGGGAAGTGACTAATATCCTCTGCAGCTCTTGAATCAATTCAAAAAGTAAAATCTATAAATGAGAACTGATCAAATACAATTGCAGAATAAAAGGATTACCTGATCATAGCCACCTAATCTGATCACAGATCTCCATAACCTAGCACGAAGAACATGGAAGATCTATATGTACCAAGAACAAGATAAAAATAAAAAAGCTCAATGATAAAACCATGATACACTTACTTTAGGCAATTAAGCGGATGACCATAAAACTTAGGTAGTTTAAATTCCATCACCTTCTCCCGGTAAAAGGTGCCTAGTTTTTCTATAAATGCAGCTTTATCCTCAGGGGAGCCTTCATCATCCTCACCATCAACCATCTAAAATTTGAAAACAAATTTTAAAATATTCATGATGAATAGACAACGATCCTGGATTCCTGATTATATGCTTATATATTGTCGTGCTTATATACTTTTATATATCTCATTATCGTACAAAATATTATGAATAATATAAAACTAAATTAAAGAAAAGGAGTATACAGTAATAGATTGCCTTTTTTCTATTTTTATAAAGTGTGATATCCAATATTCTAGTCATTATGGATGTATTTACCCAACCTAAGTAGCTATCTTTTGTACATGTATATCATAATCATGGATTCTTATATGTCATATTTTTCTTTTAAATGTATTTTCAGAAATAATACTTTTTAATCTAAAATTTGAAAACAAATTTTAAAAAACTTATGATGAATCAGAGTATGTACCATTGCACAAATATTTTCAGATGCTTCCCCACTATGCTGTCCAGCATTTGCAGTTGAAGGAAATATTGGACTAGCTGGTTCTGGCGTTTTTCCAATAGAAGAATCAGTGGTAACATTTGTAGGAATTGTTTTCATTTGAGATTCCTCTTGTCTATCCACCATCAAATCATTACCATTTTGATTGGCCTCATAGATCATTTTCTCAAAATTCTGTACTTCATCATCAATCACCTTCGCGTAGCCACTTACCATATCATCCGTTCCAGCATCAATAGTAGGTGGTTTGTTCTCCAGCACCACATTGTCATGTGCCTCTGGCTTACTCTCAGAGTTGAGCTGGTCCTCTATCTCACTTCTAGCATTTTTCGAGTCCTCTCCCTTTGAATAACTCTGATCATCTATCTTGTCCTCAACATTGCTTTTGCCAGTCATAACACTGTTTTGGCACTTGACCGGTTACTCATTGGACACAAGGATATCACTATTAGGGACATACGTTTCAGCATCCACCATCTCTACATCACCCTTATCCATTCTGACAACTAGTCACATGTAACATATCATATGTATCAAATTTTGGCATTCTAATACTCATCTCCTCAAGAAAAAGCACCCAAAAGAAAAAGGAAAGGGAAGAAATTATTTCCAAAAAACCTGATATGCATCACTCATTCCACTAGTTATATGATTCTCTACAAATTTCATACCTTTATTTCAAATTCATTTTTTTACAAGAAAATAAACTTTATATCCTATAACTTCATTTTGTTAGCATGATGGACAACTAAATGATTGTATATATTAATGTAATTATATAGTGATATAAAGCATGATCATATACATATGTTGTAGAATCAAAGAAATAAATATTATGATAGAATAGCTGATTTGGAGGGATAGCAAGGCAGATTTAGAGGGATTCAATAGCAGATTTGTAGAGATAGAATAGTTGATCTTCAGGGATAGGAATGACGGATCTTTAGGGATGTGTAATCTTTATTTTCTCTATATAATGGAAAGACCCTCTCACTTTGAGAGGAATTCAACTGAAAATTGACATGGTATTAGACCCTTCTCTTGGCTGTCTTATTTCATAGAGTAATCTGTGGTTCCTTCTAAAAAAAAATTTGAAAATCTTGGTTTTTGGTTGACTGTTCATCGACAATCAGTCCTACCACCTGGGTTGTTCTAGGTCATTCTAGTTGATTTCTTGAGTCTTTGTAGTTTTCATAGATATTTAAAAGCATGAATTCACATCACTTTGAATCCTTCAGTGTTAGTTTCATTGGAAAAAAATATTCTTCTTAGGAGTTTTAGTTTCAGTTCTTTGTCACTGGAAAAGATCTATGGGGCCATATAGATGGAAGCGATCCTTCTTCTACTGATGCAACAAAGCTAGGTGAATGAAAGATTAAAGATGCTCGGGTGATGACATGGGTTCTAGGGTCAATTGACTCTCTTATTGTTTTTAATCTCAGGCCGTAAAAGACAGCTAAGGCCATGTTGGATTACTTACAAAAAGGTTTACAACCAAGATAATTGTCACGACCCGAGTCTACAGCCTGGACGTGGCTGATACTCAAGAACCATTGTTGGTCCCCAAGCGAACCCTCATCCTGACTGACTACAAGCGGAAGACTAACTTAAGCATGCAAAATCTTAAAAACTAAATAAAATTTATTGAACTCATTTACAGGTCTTTAACTCAAATAATTTACTCTGAAAAAAAATAGAATATTCAAGTAGCCAACAATAGGCAACTTAAGTCTTTAAAACATTTAACAAAATAAATAAAACAGACTTCACAAACTCTACTTTCTATCTATGAAGCCTCTAATTGACAAATATGGAAGTCGGGACAAGACCCACGACATCCTAACAACTTATATAACTGAAAGTACAAGAGGAACCCTCCGGAAGCAAGGAGGCTCGCCATAGCTAACTCGAACTCCATGTGGTATCAATGAAGCGCCTGTTGATGATCCTGAATACATGTATCTCCATCATGAAACGATGCAGGCCAAATGACTCGGTACGTGGAATGTACGAGCATGTAAGGGGAATTCTAAAGCATAACATAAGCTTGAACTTGATAAAAGGAAACATATTTACCTTTTCTCAACTCTCAACTAACTTAACTCAAGAATAAGATACTCAACTCAAAGATAAAATATTCAACTCAGTGAAATAAGGCTCAACTTAATAATAAGATACTCGACTCTTGGTACTCAAACTCTGGATACTCAACTATGGATATTCAACCCAATAAAAAACAACAATAGGAGATGCAATATATGGAAAGCTTTTAAAATAGTAGAAAGCAACTCAATGTAATTAAGAATACAATACACTCAGTTTGTATGCAAGGATACAATATAAACTTTGTTTGTATATGAAAATACAAGTAACTTTGTGCATATAAAAATACAAATATCTTTGTGGGAGTTTCTCTAACCAATAACTATCACTATGAGTTATGTGATGATACAACGTCTCACCCATGCTGCCAGAACTGTCCTATACTTTGCCAGGGTATAAGACCTACTCACTAAGTGGATACACTAGTCTATGCTAAAAAGCATTAAGGAATCATCTAAAAAGTATGACCCTTTCTACCCACGTTGGCCACATGGTTTATGGGGGGCTGTGAGTTATCTGAACTCTCCCCCATATAGGTGCTCAATACTACTCCCAAAATATACTAGCTCATATGTGTAAAAACATAACTTTTCTGTGGTTTGAGATAATTACTCAAAAATCTTTCTCTTAAAAGAGATGGTACTCAAACTGCTCAAAACTCTTTTGGAAATCTTAGTTTCCTCTCATCTTAAATGTGAAAACATTTACTCTTGGGAATACTTAGTTTCCATATATCATTTTAAAGAAAATGAACTCAACTATGCTCTTTCTCAAAAACATTTCAAAATCATATTATAATATGATCATTGATGACTCGGGAAGTCATACTGCATAAACATTGATGGTATATCTAGATACCATACTGCTCATACATTGATGGCATACTCGATTGTCATACTAATTAGGTTTTAGAAAATTCTTTTCTCAAAACTCATCTTTATTTTCCCAAAAATCAGTTTAAGAACTCAATAATTAGGAATATAATTTTTAAAAGAATCATGAACTTAAGAACACAAATCAACTTAACTCAAGAATACTCAAATCTAGGGGTAGGATCCTAGATTTCTCTTTTACTGATTTGAAAGAAGATGTAGGGCGTGAGAACGAACTAGTCCAACACTATTATAGCCTTACATACTTCAAAAAAAAAAAAAGGTTCTTGAAGATTCTTAAGGAATCTTGAAGAATCTTGAAGAAGAACTTGATTAAAAGCCTTGAAACCCTAGCTTGAAGGTAAACAATCAAGAAAACCTTTCTTGAGATTCTTGAATTAGTTTCTTGAAATCTCTATGGCCAAGATTTATTATTTTCATTAGTGATTCATAATTGTATGGAGGAACTTGAGTTAGAAAGAATGGCATTCTTGGAGAAAAACTTACCTTGAAGAAGAATCTTGAAAAAGATTAAAAGAATCTTCAATGAAGTCTTCTACTTTGATTTTTCCTTAGGGTTTTGCCGTAGGGTTTGGGATAGAAGAGACTGATGGATTAAAATATGAAAATCTGATTGTTTTGAGCCTTTTATTAGTCAAGAAATTCGTTTAAGGTTTTCTTGGAGGTAAAAAAACAAAAACGACTCTTTTTAATGTTTTTCCGTCGGCTAATTCGTAACATCACTGTATAGGTTACTAAAATAGTCGTAACATTTTACTCAGAAATTGGATTGATGTGAAATTGGCAACGTTGAAAAGTAGATTCAAATACCTTTAATTGGATAGGTTATGGCTCACGTAACCCTTTATATTCTAAGAGATATGGTCGTTTGAAGTTGACCCAAGTAGAATCTTACATCAAAACTTAATCGATAAGGAAAATTCAAGAACACTTATCAAGAACTCATCAAGAAATTAAATCTTAATGAACCCAACACTATGGAAGCTTACATACCTCAAAGAACTAGGTTCTGGCGAAATCTTAAATTTCTTGAACGAACGCTTGAAACTTTGAACTTTTTCTCCCCTTGAATGTTCTCTCTAAAACCCTAAACGCTTTTGGGGATGAATGAAACTAATTCTAATCAGTTTAGACTCCTAAAACCTTACTAAAAACGCTTAAATCTGATTGGGTAACGAAAAGACCAAAATACCCCTTACTATGTTCGGGTAACTTTCCTTAACTGGACAGCCTGACTTCAAAAGATCATATCTCACTCATCCGACCTCGAAACTTAGAAAACTTGATGGCGTTGAAAAGATAATTCAAAGACCTTTCATTAATTATCTTTTAGCTCACCTAACTCATCGTGTACTCAGAGTTATGGTCATTTGAAGTTGACCCAAAACTCATAACTTAAGTGGAAATAGCAATTTCCAATTTAGTTATTTTTGGAACTCAAGGTGCTACATCTAGTGACCTTAACACTGAAATTTTTAATTCCTCGGTAAAATCCTACTCATAATGAAGGATGGTTCGAGTCTGAGCTCAATTTTTTGGGATGCTACAATAATAGCGCAAGACGCTTTTAGTTAGAGTATGAAATTGCTAATTACTCTCAAGGACGTCTTTCTGTTCAGGATTATTTTTTTTGGATTTCAGAACTTATGGGCTGAATTTACAGATATTGTCTATGCCAAAATACCTACTGAATCTCTATCAGTGATTCAGGCAGTTCATAAGCAAAGCAGCGAGACCAATTTTTGATGAAATTACAATCCGATTTTGAGAGTGTTCTCTCTAACTTGATGAATCGTGACCCATCTCCCTCTTTGGATGTTTGTTTTAGGAAATTACTTCGTGAAGAGCAACGTCTTGTCACACAAAATGCTTTCAAGAAAGAAAATGATGTCACTGTTGCATTTGCTGCTCAAGGTAAGGGAAAAGGGCAGGGATATGAGTAGAACTCAATGCTACAGTTAAAAGGAATATCGTCATATTGCTAGCAATTGTAGCAAGAAGTTCTGTAATTATCGTAAACAACAAGGACACAATATCAAAGAGTGTCCCACGCACCCTCATATTCGTAGGATCAATGCATTTCAAGCTGGGATAAATGGTTCCACTTATGATAACTCATCTTCAGGACAAGTTCTTACTCATGAAATGGTACAACAAATGATCGTGTCAGCCTTCTCAGCATTGGGATTCCAATCATATGACCAACTCAACAAGCATCCTAAAAAATGTTCGTAAGTATCAAGGTCCATCACAAATACAAATTGCCAATGGTAGTAATTTACCCATTACCAAGGTTGGGGACATTTGTCCAACTTTCGAGAATGTTTTTGTTTCACCAAAGCTCTCAACTAGTCTTATTTTAGTTAGACAATTGGTAAATAACAACTGTGATGTGAATTTTTCTCATAATGGTTGTCCTGTGAAGGATCAAGCGTCGGGGATGAAAATTGTAAAGAGGCTAAAGTTGGACGATTGTTTCCTATACACTTTTCCATTCCTCCAGTTCTATCTTTTGCTTGTACTTCTACTGCTAGTAAAACTGAGGTTTGGCATAAGCGTCTAGGACATCCAAATTCTGTTGTGTTGTCTCATTTATCAAATTCTGCTTTATTGGGAAATAAAAATCAACTTTCTGTTGCTTCCATTGATTGTTCTACTTGTAAATTAGGCAAAAGTAAAACTCTTCCTTTTCCTAATTTTGGTAGTTGTGCTACAAAGTGTTTTGATGTCATTCATAGTGATGTTTGGGGCATTTCACCAATTATTTCTCATGTTCATTTCAAATACTTTGTGACATTCATAGATGATTATATATAGTCGGTTACATGGGTGTATTTTCTTCGATCCAAATATGAGGTATCTTCCATGTTCAAGACATTTTTGGCTTACATTGAGACTCAATTTTTTACATGCATCAAATTATTAAGATTTGATTCTGGTGGAGAATATATGTCTTATGAATTCAAAAAATTCTTGCTTGACAAAGGAATTGTCTCACAACACTCTTGCCCATGTACACCACAACAAAATGGAGTTGCTGAATGAAAAAATTGCCAACTTTTAGATGTCACTCGTACTTTATTGATCGAGTCCTCTGTACCATCTAAATATTGGGTGGAAGCTTTGTCTACTGCTGTCTATTTAATTAATAGATTGCCATCTAAAGTGCTAAATCTTGAGTTTCCATATTTTAGTCTTTATCACCAAAATCCTAACTATAGTGATTTTCATACATTTGGTTGTGTTTGTTTTGTGCATTTGCCTCCTTTGCAGTGCAATAAACTTTCTGTACAGTCTACTAAATGTGCTTCTATGGGTTATAGTACTTCACAAAAAGTTTTATTTTCTATGATCCATGTTCTCACAAATTTCGTATTTCTAGAAATATTATTTTCTTTGAGAATCAGTATTTCTTTCCTACGATTGTAGATTCATCTTCTGCATCTCCTTTTCTTCCTACTTTTTAGGATTTATCATCTTCTTTTAAGAGGTTCAAATTTGGATTTGTGTATGAACGATGTCGGCCAACTTTACCCTATCTCGACACTGATTCGCCGCCTGAAACTGTACCACAACTAGAATATGAGAATTCTTCAAGATCTAGTCCTCTTGAGCCTACTCGACGATCTACAAGAGTATCTCGTACTCCCAATTGGTATGGCTTTTCCTCTACTTTATCCAACATATCTGTTCCATCTTGTTACTCACAAGCTTCCAAGCATGAATGATGGGAGAAAGCAATGGAGGAAGAACTTTTGGTTCTTAAAGAAAATGACACATGGGACATTGTTTCATGTCCTTCAAATGTCCACCCTATTGGATGTAAATGGGTTTATTCAGTCAAACTTCATTCTGATGGAACTCTTGATCGGTACAAAGTTCGATTGGTTGTTCTTGGTAACAAACAAGAGTATGGGGTGGACTTTTGCACCCGTAGCCAAAATGACTACGGTACGAACTATTATTGTCATTGCTGCTTCACAAAACTGGTCTCTGTATCAAATGGATGTCTAAAATGCTTTTCTCCATGGTGATCTTAAAGAAGATATTTATATGAAATCTCCACGTGGTTTGTTCTCATCACCTACATCAGATGTATGCAAGTTGAAGTGGTTTTTGTATGGATTAAAACAAGCTCCAAAAGCTTGGTTTGATAAGTTTTGATCTACTTTGCTACAATTTTCTTTTGAGCAGAGAAAATATGACTCATCTTTGTTTCTTCGAAAAACATCTACAGGTTGTGTTCTTCTTTTGGTGTATGTAGATGACATTATTATCACAGGAGTTGATTCTTCACTAATCACTAGCCTCCAACAGCAGCTTAAAGATTATTTTCATATGAAAGATCTTGGTACTCTTACTTATTTTTGGGTTTGGAAGTTCATAATGTTGCTTCAGGTGTGTTTATAAACAAACACAAATATACTCACGATCTGATTTCTTTGGCTGGTCTTCAAGTTTCCTCCTCAGTAGATACTCCACTGGAATTGAATGCCAAGTATCGTCATGAGGAAGGCGATCTTCTTCCTGATCCAACTATGTTTCGACAATTAGTTGGGAGTCTAAATTACGTTACTATTACTCGGCCTGATATCTCTTTTGCAGTTCAACAAGTTAGTCAATTTATGCAAGCTCCCCATCATCTCCACTTGGTGGTTGTTCGTCGCATCATTCGGTACCTTCTAGGAACATTTACTCGTGGATTGTTCTTTCCAAGTGGTTCTCCTATTCGTCTTAATGCTTTTAGTGATTTTGATTGGGCGGGATGTCCTGATACTCGTCGTTCAGTCTCTGGTTGGTGCATGTTTCTTGGAGAGTCATTGATATCTTGGAAGAGTAAAAGGCAAGATCGTGTGTCAAAATCTTTAACAAAGGCTGAATATCGATCCATGTCTACTGCTTGCTCCGAGGTTGTATGTCTTCGTGGATTACTTGCTGAGATTGAAGAGGGAGTGCAATATTGCTTTACTAACCAACAGATATGTGTTAATCAGGGCTACACTCTTGGAAGATTATGTTATTCTGCTTTCTAAACCAGTTTTCTACTTAACTCATCAAAATTGGTCCTATACGATGAGGACCCTAAAGTGGGATCCATTATTTAACCCAGAGGAGGAGACATCAACGGCTATAGCATGGATTTCCTTTCCTTCATTGCCCGCAAATTTCTTTGGGAAAGAAACTGTATTCTCATTAGCTGCAGCAGTTGGAAAACCATTGCAGGTGGATATGGCGACTAAAAATCAGACTCGACCTAGCTGCAGCAGTTGATTGTCGTAGACTTCTTAGTGTTGTGATCAACAAATTGAAACGTAACAACGATATAGTTTTCAGATCCACTGAAGAAATATCAAGATTTCTGCATGACAGTTTCTCTTTACTAGAGAAAATTACCAGTCCAAAAAGATGCAAGTAAGGCAAAGATTGAATTACTCTATCAAAGTCAAAATCAGTAAAATAAATAGCAAGGTGTGTACCTTCTTGAAGGCAGTAACACCCCAAAGATTGTCAAGTTGGTTTGGCTGACCGGTAATGACCAGGCAACTAGCTGGATTAGATTGAACCCGTACCTATGTTTACCAAGAAATAAGGGCATTAGAGCTTTGAGATGTTGTAAAAAGATGAAAACAAATTGAATGCACTTGATGGAAACAAGTAGCACGATTGGTATTATACCTCATCTTGTAAAAGCCCAGGCACCAGTGCATAGACCTCAAGATAAAAACATTAGAAGAAAGGATCAAGATAAAGTACGACTTACGGCTTAGATGTTTCAGTTTCTGCAGCTTTCATTGGGTGCTCCACTTCATTTTGTCCTTGGTGCTTAAGAGAACGTGAATACAACAAGAAATTTTGCTGCGGTCACTATTCCTTTTTGATAGAGTATGAGTTGAAGCAAAAACTAAAGTTCTCGGATGATGATCCTGATATAGTTACAGTGTTAACTAACAGCAACTAAAGGCCAAAGTTTTGGAGAGTGCCAGACTTCATATTGGGAAATGGTGAGGCGATAACAGCTCAATGATAGAGATATATGAATTGGCAAAGAATTGACGAACAATCTTACCACTATTTTTTAGGCTCTTCGCACGCTTTGGCATATTGTTGGCATTCCTGTCCTATAAAAGATGAAAAACACCAAAATTACTTGTACGTGGCAATAGACAGGATCAAACTTAAGAAATATAATGCCCAAATACCTCTACAAGGATTCAACAATAGACCTTTACAATTGGCTCAGCAACCTCACCATAACCAAGAAGGTGTTGCTCCTGCCAGCCTAGCCTACAACGAGCAGCTGAATCTCTTACTACCCTTCCTGATGCAGAACTTTGGTAATCACTTCCCTGCAGAATTACTTTAAATAGTTCATATTTTATTATATATACATATACTACAAGACTACATTAGTCTTTTCCTAGTGTCAATTAAAAAAAGTCTTTTCCTAGTGTCCCTTATCCCAAAGTAAGGCCATACTGATTTCCGTCGAAGTCAACTAAAGAAGGATCCATGATCAACTTTGAGAACTTGAGCGAAGTCAACATACATTGATGATTCTAACTACTTAGGGTAATAGGCTTCCCCATATATCAATTAAAAGGTGTACAACTTACTGCAGATGTGAAGATACATCACATAACAACAAAGTAAACACAATGTTACCTCATTGTCAACACCCCAAGAAACAGGAGGAGCAGCAATAGGAAGTTGAAGCTCTCCATTTTGTGTCCTATGCCTTTCATATGGTAGAAGTAACTAACATACAGAGAAATCATGAGATAATAGAATGTACATAAACAAAAAGTAAGAGGCAGATAACTTTTTAGAACAAATTCTATGCAAAATCACCATATAAGCATGGAGATGAAGTAATTTATTAAACTTAAACATCTAAGTTTGGCATTTCAAAATGTGGAAAGCTAAGGAGAAGTCCAATAGGATAAAATGAGCCAGAATGTCCAGCTGCCATCTCACAGTCATATAACCAATTGCAAAAATAAAAGCAGAACCACGAAAATGAAAAGAAGCAAGCACAAACTATTCAAATGACTTTATAGGTCACAAAAGACGGACTGTTAGTAAAAGTTTTCTAAGTTAATACTTCACAAAGCACCCACCAATTTTTTTGGATAAGGTTAAATAATTTGTTGATGATTGAGGAAAATCCTGTATACAAGCCGTATACCAAGAAATAGAGAACCTATACAAAATATGGTCCTCTACAAAAGACATTCAATCATCTATACAAGCAGGGACCTCATAGGTGCACCAAAAAAGAAATTAGAGATAAAAAGGCTAATCCCTACATTTACAAACTCAAATTCTATCCCTTCAAACACTCTCTCCCTCTCCTTCCATACAGCCCACATAAAAGATAACATCGCAAACCACCTATCCACTAACAATGCGACATAATTCAGGTCCCAGAAACTCACCTTATACCAAATATTAGCAGCATGGCGGACAGTAGTCAAAATATACTAATAACTATCAAGGGAAGAGAACTTTAGGTTATTACCTTCTCATAGAAGCCGCAGAATGTCCAAGAAACAGTAGTGCAAGTCCTGAGAAAGAAGATTATCAGAGCCCCAAAAAAAGCATTCAGAGAAAGTCGTATAATAGTAGATAGAAGGCATTGATATTGTCTTATATATTCAGTTGATTATCATTCCAGTAAATTCTTATCTTATTTGATCATCAAAAGATATCTTGCTCATTACTATTTATTCTGAGTTACTCATCTAACTGGAGACATCGACACTCATTTCACATTGAGCAAATCTAGCATAAGGAAGCAACCCGTCAACATCTCATAAAGTCTAGACTCCCTATTCAGAAGCATTTGTAAATATTTAAGGCTTCAAGTCCCTGCGTGCTTAACTCTAGAACCAATTGCCACCACTCTGATATCTAGTCCTCTATATTTGACCAAGACCTAACAGAAAGAAAGATGCAACATTCCTTGGGTATGTTGTTGTTTGTTGTTAATGCGGTGTATGTTTCTTAGCACTTATAGCCTAAGTTGCTCGGACTCGGTGCGGGTGTCCGATACCCCAAATCATGACCTAATTTTTAAGATTTGGGGATATGGATCCATGTAGGGATACGTCTGTGGGGATTCGCCTAAAAATAATTAAAATATCTAAAAGAAGAGTTAGAAAACCTAAATTATGAAATATTATGGGAGAACTTGAGGAGAATATGGAAGGAAATTAACGGAAAAGGAGTGACATAGAAATTTCTAGATAAAAGGTATTTCATTTTCTTCAATTTCACCTTAGCTTTTGTATTGATTACAGACAATCATTAAAACTGTCCAAACTTACCCCATCTACTTTGGTCAAAGCATCCAAAACCAGTTGACCAAATTGGACACGGATCCCACACCCATGTTGTATCGACACGGGTGTGGCACCAAAAGTGAAGAGTCTGAGCAACTTAGCTTATAGCTTGATATTGGAATCTATGTTGTTATTTTTGCAAAAGCATTTCGTGTTTTCTTCGTATTTTCAATTTTAGTAGTTTTAATACTCTCTCCGCTATAAAAGAATGCCTCTTTCCAAAGTTACCAAGTTCAAAGAAAAGAATGCTACTTCCCTTTTTTGGCAATTCTTAATTTCAATGTGTCACAAGTAGAGTCCGAGCAACTAAGCTTATAGCTTGATATTGGAATCTACGTTGTCATTTTAGCAAAAGCACTTCATGTTTTCTTCCTATTTTCAATTTTAGTAGTTTTAATACTCTATCCGCTATAAAATAATGCTTTCTTCCAAAGTTACCAGGTTCAAAGAAAAGAATGTCTCTTCCCTTTTTTGGTAATTCATAATTTCAACGTGTCACAACTCACATGACATGTTCAAGACCACAAGATTAGGGATATTTTGGTACATTCTACACATTTTTGGTTTATCTAAACTCAAATGTAAAATGAACCTTCAACCTAAAATTCTTATTTGAACAACTTTTTATTGTCATTGATCTATTTTAGTCATTACTAAACTAAAATAGCTTACTCAATATCTACAATTGCTTATTCATATGCTATTATGAGTTCAAGACAGGCCGCTATGGTGATATTGGTAGACACATTGCTCTTAGGAAGAAGTGCTAATGCATCTCGGCTCGAGTCCGAGTGGTAGTATACTATCTTCTAAAAAGTATAAAAGGATCTTATAATGAATTCAATTCCCGATTTTCATTTAAAATTAGGTAATTAAGGGACTCTTATTTTTAAAGTCTTTTTATAATATTTTCAACCTTGAGCATACATTAACTCACATTTCCTTTTCGATCATTTCAATTGTAATTGTTAAAAAGTCCCACATCGGAAGAGGAATAGGAAATTGGACTCCTTATATGGACTTGGACAAACCTCCCCTCATGAGCTAGCTTTTGAGGTTGTGGTAGACTCCGGTGTCATATCTTTATATGGTCTTAGAGTTAGACTCATCCTAGTTTGTTGTTCACCGATGTTGGGTCCCCATAACGGTTCACGCTCTAGTTGAGGTCTGGGCGTACGGGGAAATGTTAAGAAATCCCACATCGGAAGAGGGATGAGAAATTGGACTCTTTATATGGAAATGGACAAACTACCGCTCATGAGCTGGGTTGAGTTGCGTCCAGGTGCCATATCTTTATAGTAATTACCATTCATTTGATAACCTTTTTAGTCGATGAAATCGTAAAACTATATGATTCATCAGAAAAAGGCAATAGTTGCTCTTTTCTATATAACAAGATTATGTTACTCATTGGATTTCTTCGGGACATTTTCCACTAAGCGATTTATATGAATCATTAATGTTCCTTTCATGGAGTTTCTCCCTAATTCATATAATTCTGTATTTTGAAAAAATTGTTATAATTTTAAGTACGTAAAATAACTGGACCAAGTGCTATATTTATCCAAGGCTACAAGATTCAAAAAAATTATTTACTTTCTTAAAGTCTATGTCAAGTCAAAACCAGACAAACATTTGAAACTTCGGGAGTATTTATTAAGGTTTTATACAATTCATGAACAATTGTTCTTCTACCACCTTCTGATATAATGTTCTAGCAACCAATCAACTTAATACTCTCACATGTACCCAAAATATATCGTAACATTTCACATCCAAAACAACAGAAATAAACTTTAAAATCTTGGCACATCATCAGTAAAACAATGACAGACAACATCTCCCTTACATAGTTAATATTGGGGAAGTTGATGTTTGACGAGTAAAGGATAAATATTCATATCAAGTTGCCAGAAAAAAAAAAGAAATAACCAGGGCCAACTAAATCCTCACTTGGGGGGATTAAAGGAGTCTCCCATTTGCCGCCACAACTTCAATCTAGTTACCTACAGAGATAAAGTAGGTTAACAGTACACCATCAAAAGTACGTGGGACTAACACAAAATTCATCTCACAGACTCATAGCATATTGCATCATTACTTAATCAACCAAGTAACAGAAGAAAATACACAACCACGGCTTCAATTTTTTTAATTATACTATAAAGTACAAAGCTACATTGCTTATTTCTTAAAAATAAATAAGAATACCCTCTCTAACAACTCGAGGTTCACACTGTGATATTTGGAAAGAGAAACATAGCCCTCCAGGGATGCTTTACACACGGCCGTGTGAACAAGCAGCAAAAAGCCTTTAACAAAAATGGCCACATAAAATCATGGTTAATCGAGAAATAACTCCTTGACTTATTGCACTCGATTACTGACCCACTGCTTCTGATTTGCTCAGGACATTTTGGGGAAGTGACTAATATACTCTGCAGTTCTTGATTCAATTAAAAAAGTAAAATCTATAACCGAGAACTGATCAAATACAAGTGCAGAATAAAAGACTTACTCGATCATAGCCACCTAATTTGATCACAGATCTCCATAACCTAGCACGAAGAACATGAAAAGATATAATATGTACAAGGAACAAGATGAAAATAAAAAGGCTCAATGATAAAACCATGATACACTTACTTTAGGCAATTAAGAGAATGACCATAAAACTTAGGTAGTTTAAGTTCCATTGCCTTCTCCCGGTAAAAGGTGCCTAGTTTTCCTATAAATGCAGCTTGATCCTCAGGAGAGCCTTCATCATCCTTACCATCAGCCATCTAAAATTTGGAAACAAACTTTAAAAATTTCATGATGAATAGACAACGATCTTGGATTCCTGGTTATATGCTTATATATTGTCGTGCTTATATACTTTTATTTATCTCATTATCGTACAAAAAATTATGAATGGTATAAAACTAAATTAAAGAAAAGGAGTACAGTAATAGATTGCCTTTGTCTCTATTTTTATAAAGTGTTATTCTTTCGTGAGTTAGTAAAAATATATTTGTATTGATGCATATTAAGTTATAATAAATTACTTCGGTAATAACGGGCTCGGGTTTGTATCTAGCTATCAAATGCACGGATATATAGTTGATTTTAGCCAAAATATTATTTCGCTCGTTTGTGGATCATGGGCAAACCTTTAAAGTTTAAAGTCAAAGAGTTAAAATTTATTAAACTTGAAGTCTTTACACAGAGTAAACAGAGTCAAAAGTTCAATATCATATTTGTAAATCACCCAATTGCAGGGCCTTCATTTAAGATATATATAGATCTAAAATATGCATGTGCTTCCATTTGATACATGTAGTTAAACAGAATTATGGTTGGCATTCTTTTCGTATATATCATAGTGTTTTTTATAAAATAATAATGTATGAAATTCAATCAAATATGTTTAGTGTTCATGCATAAATGATTAAATTCCAATTAAAATTATCTGAAGTTTGTAAGGTGCACAACTAGTTTTTGAATACTAGATATCCAATATTCTAGTCACTATGGGTGTATTTGCCCAACCTAAGTAGCTTTGTTTTGTACATGTATATCATAATCATGGATTCTTATATGATCATATTTTTCTTTTTGATGTATTTTCATAAACAATACTTTTTAATCTAAAATTTGAAAACAAATTTAAATTTTTTATGATGAATCAGAGTATGTACCATTGCACAAATATTCTCAGATGCTTCCCCACTATAATGTCTAGCATTTGCAGTTGAAGGAAACATTGGACTAGCTGGTTCTGGCATTTTTCCAATAAAAGAATCAGTGATAACATTTGTAGGAATTGTTTTCATTTGAGAGTCCTCTTGTCGATCCACCATCAAATCATTACCATTCTGATTGACCTCATAGATCATTTTCTCAATATTCTGTAATTCATCATCAATCACCTTCACGTAGCCACTTACCATATCATCCATTCCAGCATCAATAGTAGGTGGTTTGTTCTCCAGCACCACATTGTCGTGTGCCTCTGGCTAACTCTTAGAGTTGAGCTGGTCCTCTGCCTCACTTCTAGCATTCTTCAATTCCTCTCCCTTTGAATCACTATGATCATCTTTCTTGTCCTCAGCATTGCTTTTGCCAGTCTTAACACCATTTTCGTACTTAACCGGCGACTCATTGGACACAAGGACATCACTAGCAGGGACATTCTTTTCCGCATCCAGCATCTCTACATCACCCTTATCCATTCTGACAACTAATCATAGGCAACATATCATATGTATCAAATTTCGGCATTCTAATACTCATCTCATCAAAAAAGCATCCAAAGTGAAAGGAAAGGGAAGAAATAACTTCCAAAAAAGCTGATATGCATCACTTTCAAATCAATTTTTTACAAGAAAAGAAACTTTATATCTAATTCATTCTTAAACGTCTTTTTTTTCTCTGCTATTGATATAACTTGAATCCCTGTTTGTCAGTTTTTGTGAGTGATTTGGAGTGGGGGGAAAAAGTGAAAAACATCTTTTTTATGTTTTCTAAATTCATGAAAATTTGGGGATTTTATGGCATAAAATTCCCAATTCTTCATGAATTTGAAAAATATAAAAAAGTTGTTTTCACCTTTTTCTCTCCAAATCACTCACAAAAACTCAAAAATAACTGCAATTTATTTATATTAACAACCATACCCAACTCCGATTTTCAATTGATAATCGGAGTTGTGTTTGGTTGTGAATATAAATAAATTGGAATTGTTTTTGAGTTTTTGCAGGTGATTTGGAGTGAAAAAAGTACCTTTCTTTTCAAATTCTCTCAATTTTCATGGCCAAACTCCATTACATATAAAAGCTATTAGAAAAAGTATGTATTCCTTCACACAAACACACAAAAAAAAATTCTAACCTTAGTTTCATCAAAACAGAATTCAGGATACAAAAACATACAGAATAAAAATAAAAATCCTGTTTTTCATCCCCATATGTTCAACTCTAAACAGAATGAAAACTAAAAAAAGGTCCTCCCGCCGATCAATTCACCGGAAAAATACATCAAAACTTCATCCACAACTCAAATGTGTTTAGTTTTATTCATTTTTTTCAAAAACAGAGCAACGTTCAATAGATAAACAAGTAATGCCGGGGAGTAAAAACACTTCCAGGAATCCATCAAATTCAGCAACGGGTAGGAAGTGCAATCGAAATTGGAGGTTGATGAAGCAAAGTAGCTTAACAAAGAAGGAAACGATCGTGAGTTTAACCCTCCAACGGCGGCTTTTGCTTCTTCAAATACTTTGGGCACTAAGTAACTGAAGAGTGTGAGTAGGATATGAGTTAATTCTTTTGTCTTTATGTGAGACTTTTTGAGAAAATAACTAAAATGGTACTTAATTTACTAGTAATATTTTATTTTGTTTTTTTAATATATTTTAGGAATAATTTCAATTATATATAATAAATTAGTAATTAGTTTAAAATAAATATAGTCATATAATTAAAAAATCATTGAAAGTATACATTGACTATATATATAATATAGTTTGTTAAAAGTCATAGAAAGTATATAATGAGTACTGACTATTTAAAATAGCATATTTATACATGACGATATACTCAAAAAATTAAATATAGCTTAATTATATGAAGTATACATTGACTATACATGAAGTATACTTTGACTATTCAATCTCGATGAACTCGAAATAACCTCTAAATAGTACCAAAATTTAAATTTGAAATTCTCTCGATATTTTGAGTCTTCTGATATATAATTCACTTGAAACGATTCACGTTTGCGGAAAATCAAATTTATATTGTTATATACCAAAACTGTATGGATTTTTTTGATAAAAATATGACCTTGGTGCAAATATCATATACCCAAATTTTGAACCTCAAAGAATTTGATGCTCAAATTTTGATTATATATATTTATATTCTCCTTGGGACCTTAAATCAATTATTAGAGCTTTATATCCATCCTTCTTTGTGAAGCGATAAATACAATATCGCAAAAGGACAGCTGAGTACACGAAACATCCCACATTCAGATAGAGTCGTATAGGCTAACCTACAAAGTGCATTCCTGTCCTTACTAGTTTTTATCTTTGTTTTTTTGGTTTACCACCCAATGCCCCATTGGAGCTCCGACTAAATTTGAATGACGTACTGCAGAGCCTATTATGGGGTAATGCTCCCAACATGACTTTCTTCATACTAGTTTTTTTCTTTCTTTCCTATTCATTTTAAACAGTCTATTCCCCATTGATATAACCAATTTTTTTCTCCAGACAGCATTGTTAACAAATATAGGATCTTTTTGGCTTAGATATTGAGATGTAAAACTTTTAAATTCATAGTTCTTGAGAAGAGATGATTTATGTCAAGGAATAAAGAGATTTGCTCTAACGCGAAGAGAATGAGAAGAAAATGATGGTAACAAATGAAGAATTACTTGCAGATTAGCAAATAGGCGCGGGAGAAGGTGATGTAGTAAGGTCACTCTTAGCTTTCTATCCTCCAGAAGCTTCTAACTCAAATGGAATTAGTTGGACATTGTGATGGATAAGTTCATTTGAGCTTTATTAGATCGTTATGTATATGAACTCGATCATCATGTTGTTTCAGTCAGCATTGTAATCACAAGCCTTGGTACTGATTTCACCAAGTTGGAATCTTTCGGGAAAGTTGATGTTTTTGCTGAGAATCTGGTGTGGTTAAATCCATCCCTACTTTGAGAAAACTCTCTGTTCCTTCTTCTTTTAATGCTTCATTTGGCATTCTTACTTCGGTCCTCAATGACTTTTAACATGTCAGTGGATTATACAGAAGCTGGCAAAGGCCTCCGGGAGTGAAAGCAAAACTCATTGATAGTAAAGCTTCTAAAGGTATATGAACACAATCTAAAACACTCGCTAAAACTTGCCTCGCTACAATGGTTATTTAAGGTTTACTTATAAATCGAACAGAGTCTATTTATAAAGCAATGAAATGGAATGCATACTATTGTACCGACAGAATTAGAAAGTTCTTTTATGAAATGATTTTCGACTAGTCAAGAAGAAAAGCTCTTATTCCTAGAGTTTCGAACACGTAAACTTAAAATCCTGAATCTTCCTCTGCCATTCAAGAAACTAAGTGAGTTTATCTCACTGAAGTAGTTGTGACTTTGCTTCAATGTTTAGGAGTTTATACTTGCACATGATGTGAGGACGTTCAATCTTTTGAGCCGTTGATAATTGTCACTCTTATTAATCAAGGTTGTATTACATCGAGTACACTCTCCAAAATCCCAGTGAAAGTCTCAGACATCTATTTGCAGTGCTCGGGATAGGTGACAATGGGATTTACAACAGACTGCATACTCTCACTGGACATGTCAGCTAAATGAAGCAAAAAGACACGCATTATAAACTTACTTGGCTTTTCATTTTTCCATTACTAGAGGATGATGAAGAGATCAATAGACTGTAAAATTGATTAAGATTTAATTTATCTTGCAGTTTGTAAAAGAGGAGGCAGAAAAATATGGTGCCAAAATACAGTAGGTAATTGTTATATTCTAGGTGTTTTGATGATTCTCACAAATACTGGGACCTAGTAGTCCCTGACAGAGTGCTCTCGTCCAGATTCAAATGGGTACAACTATAAAGTTGTCATGTCAGGTGGTAGGTGAAAAGTGTAGTTTACTGCACCAATAGAAAGAGCGGACGAGACTTTCTCTTTCAGTGGCTCACAAATGCAGGGACCTTGTCCCTGGTAGAGTTCTCTCGTCCAGATTTATAATGGTGTACAACTGTAAAGATGTCCTGTCAGTGGGTTGGTGAAGTCGTCAGCATAGTTCACCAATAGAAATGGATGAGGTTGCTTGTCCAATGGTCAATAACTCTTTTTGGTCGATATAATCAAAATGACAAACAACAAGAAGATTCATTCATTCAAAAGGAGAGAGAGCCAACAAGTCTTCTCAAGAACTCACTAATGAAAAGTTTGCAAGGGACTAGGTCCCTGCAAGACTTCGTATGTGAAAGGACGACAAGATAGCTGTCAGAAAAGTTGCCACCTCTAATGTGGTAGGTGCACATCTTTCCAGAGAAGCAGGCTCTCAGCCAATGGGCGGTCCCAAGGAGTTTGTGTCTTTTTGATATAGTCTCTTCTCCAAAAACACAAACTCAAGATTTGGCAAACAAAAACACAAGCTTAAAAAAGAGAAGGCCATCTTCAAGGAAGAACTAAAGCACAAGAACACATACAGCAAGGACCTGATCAACTGAAGAAGTGTTTTCCGTACTTGTTGTTGTTCTTGAATGTTTGTATTGAGCTAAACTTGTAGGATTCGTTTCACTTTGTTAAGAAACGTTTCAAACTCTTGTGTGTAGTGAGGGTAAGAACATTTTTAGAGTTAACTTTGTGTCCTACGGTAAAAATCTATATTAATCAGTGAGGGTTAGTATAGTGGGAAATGGATGCATTGCTTAGGCTCGTTTAATTAATAGTTGTATTACTTAGTGTGAGATTAGGAGGTTAATCTCATTGTTGTGGTGTAAATTATGTTTCGCTTTTGCTTGAGAAGATTAGTGAAAAGAGTTGAAAATCATGTGTGACAGGTTGTGGTTTTACTTTCTTGAGCAAGGAGGTTTCCACATTAAATTCTTGTGCTTGTTTTACGTTGTGTTATTTATTTTTTGAACTGTTATTTTGTCGAGGGACCTGATCTTGTGATCACTGGTGGACGCATAGATTCCAACAATTGGTATCAGATCTTGGGCTCTCTATATGGTTAATACCAAGAGAGAGGTTCTTGCAAGCAATGGCGACACAACTGAACCTGCAAAGAAGTCAGTCTCCCACAAGACCACCTCTCTTCTATTGTAAGTTCTATAGATGGTGGAATATTCAAATGAGAGACTATCTCATGTCTGAGGACATTGAGGTATAGGACGTCATATGTGAAGGTCCTTATGTGCCAACTATGGAGGTTAAGGATGGAGAAATCACAAGAGTCATTCCCAAAACTCGACAACAATATAATGACTTTGACAGAAGATTAGTCCAGAAAAATCACAAAGCCAGGAAGCTACTGATGTGTGGCATTGGAGTAAATGAATACGATCTGATCTCATCTTGTGAATCAACTTAAGAAATCTAGGATCTTTTGAGAACAACATATGAGGGTACTGAGGAAACAAGGAAATCTAAGCTAGATCTCTTTACTACTCAGTTTGAAAGTTTCACCATAAAAGAAGGTG